ATTTGCTCATTCTCGAAATATATGATTAAGAATTTTAAAACGCAAACTAACGTCATATGTAGAGTTCTTTATCATGAAATGTCGTACATATGTTTCATACTTTCTTATATTGTAGATCCCACATGGATAGAGTTGTGAAAATCCCTTTACCACCTGTGTCATTCACTTCAATTACTCTTACTAGATTGTCATTAATCATGTGTCATGGTGATTCATGGCCAAGAATGCTCGTTTGTAGTTTGGATTCTTTGTTGATGTCAGTTGTTTGTTCATATAATGATGATGGGCCCCATTGTTATATGAGCCCACCTAAAGGTGAGCAGCTGACATTCATAGGAGATCAAATCTACACTAAGCATTCTTTGAGTGATGATATAACTGGGGTATTGAAGTGATCCCTTTTCCTTCGCTTGAAGTTACTATAAGAGTGCATCGAAAACAGTAATCTATCGAATTGGGTTTCATAATACCAGTAGCCCCTTAACTGGTTACCTCGATTACTTTGTGTATGGAATGGTATAAACGTATAGAATGGACATTGCATAACGGTATTTGTACGTGTGAATATTAATATTGAAATGGTTGGAATATAATCTACGAAGATGGAAAACAAGCGAGTAGAAAAACATGATCTATGTCTTGTGGTTTGTAAGTTGAGTAGATGAGCTTTAAAATTAACTTATAGCTATGAGTAACTGCATGAGATATTCATAAAGGATCCTGATGGTCTATTTTTATAATTTGTACCATAATCATGAAAAACACCCATATTTGTTAAAAAATGTCACACAAAGATGTCAATTGCTGTAAGAAAATAGCTGTCTTTCACTCGCTACTTTTTACTAATTTTAATAAACAAAATTGCAATGCTGCAAGTAGGGTTTATTGAATTTTTAACATAAAAATGTTACGATATACACGTTACGATATATACGTAAAAACTGCGCTGTGAAAAAAGTGGAAGAGACCTAGTAAGACGTTTGGATAAGACGGACCGGGACAATGCAGTTCTTTTCAAAATATATAATTTCTGATTTTATTCATTCATTATGCTGACATTTATAATGTGTTTTTTTATAGAGTAGCTACGTCTGTAGGCGTAATAACTAGACATTGAATGAACGATCAAATTGGACAGAAGCACGAAGAAACAAGCGTCCTTTTTGAAAGATTCCCACTTGCGACTTTCGTTATGCATACTATTAATCAGTATAACGCATTTTTAAATTCAACCGTTAAAAATTTCCGTAAAACTAAATTTTCACAATTGTCAAATTTTCGGACAAAACACACGAGTGAAAGCCAGCTATTAATGAAGGTCTTAATAAAGCAACATAGAAATTTTGATCGAATGAAATCTAGTAGACATCAAAAATAATTTGTATACAAGTCACGACGTCACTTTGGTCATTTCATTTTTTATTGTTTGTTGGTAGGTGAATGATCAGGTCAAACGTACTGAATGAATTTTTCATATGATTTATGTATGAGCTGCTATTAGTTTTTATTTTTCGTCTATTCATTAAAATTTTTGTTAACACTCTGCACTCTTTCATTTTTTGTTCTCTACTAAAGTTTTCGTTTCTTTAATTCAAACACAAAATATTTGCGGTGTCAATAAATAGGGTAGTCAGCCAACTTTTTGATCGCTTTGCAAATTTAAGATACAAACGACAAAGCTACCATCTGACTACGCTGCATGTTGAAGTAGATCATCGGGATCATTGAAAACAACAAAAATATGAAACATCTTAAAACAGCAAAAATTTTAGAAAATTTTTTAAAATTTTGATCTTTTTATTTATCCGGTTTTTTACCGGATCCACCGGTTTTCCCTCCCATTTCGTTTTGGTTTGGAAAAAAAAACAGTGTCCACATTTGGGGCCAAGCGAAGTCATTTGTCATAACATTATTTATTGTAGCTATCATGAATATTCACATTTATTTTTATTTCTTGGCCTTTGGGTATAATTCCCAAAACACTGCGCTTAATAAATATTAATGGCATATATTTTGAAAAAAAATATGTACGCAGGTTGTCTCCTCAGTCAGATCTTCTAAGACAATTTTTTTAATCTTCTGCATCAACCAACTCAACGAGAAAATAAAGATGATTTGGAATACCTGATACAGTATGGAAGTGTGATTTTGCGTATTTAGTTTGATTTGCAATTTAGTATTTACACCAAAATTAGTTTTCAGCAAATATTTTAATTATGTATTTCCAAACTAGTGTGAAATCATATATTTATTGTGCAACTGTGACGATGTTAGCAAGTCACGTGTCATGTATTATTAACCAGAGCCTTTAACCAGTGGCTGTGAGTAGTGTGACAATCCCCAGCCTTTCATGAAGATTTCAAATTGTTTATCAACTGGATAGGAGATTTATTCTTCGAATAATAGTTATCCAACCTTTTTTTCATTCAGCCCCTGGTGAATTGTGAAATTGTTTGCTTAAAGATCATATTTAATTAAGAATTGATCATATGAAGCTCAGTTGATATTCATGTGAATGTTGGTTTGAGATCAATTAATCCTTTTATGTTGTTGTATCCTAATCACCTATGATGAATTCCTGTAATGATGTTTTAATCTCATGACGTCATTGACACGGTATGATTGCGTGACTAGTAGAAATGTAAAATTATTGTGAAAGACAAGCTGTTAGCAATCTAGTATTTCCACCAAATATAGTTTTCAGTTAAAAATTTTGATGATGGCATTTCTAAATTTTTGTGAAATCTTATTTATGACGCAAATGTGACGATGTTAGCAAGTCACGTGACATGTATTATTAGCCAGAGACTTTGAACAGTGACTGTGGGGAGTGTGACAATCCCTTTCTTTTGATTAAAATGTGAAAAATTTGATCAAGATAAAAAGAGATTTATCCTATTGATAAGAGTTATCCGCCTTTCGTGCAAACGGCCCCTGGTGACTTGTGCAATTGTTTACATTAACATATAAGATCGTATTTAAGTAAGAATTTATCATATGAAGCTCAGTTGTTATTCATGTGATTTTTGGTGAGGTCAATTAATCCTTTTATGTTGTTGTATCTCAATTATCCATGATGAATTCTTATAATGACGTTATAATCTCATGAAATGGTATAAGTTTATAGGACAGAAAGAAAGACAAAAACTTAAAGAGAAATAGCTCTTGTCATTGTCTGTTTCCAATACCTTTAAATTTAGGACTTAGGAGTGTTAAAGTGTAAGAGCAACCTTTAAGATAATAGTCAAAACTCTTCTGCTTATTCTATAAATAAAACACTTCAAGAAATACATAAAAAAATTTGTAAATAGATTTACCACACGGTGACAGATGTCAATTTCCGCATCAGTGCAAGCTTTGATTACATTCATGTATAATTGCACTGTAAAGCTTTGAAAGCTGTCTTTAAAGAGAGCATTTAAAAAACTCTCTCATATGCATGTTTATGTGAACTTGCTCTAGAAATTACACCATTGCCTTTACTAATGATTTCTATTTCAAACTGAAAAATATTTTAGCTGTCTATATTTTTTCTTCTATTAACATTGTGATAATTAAACTTGTTTTTTTGACATTAAAAATTCTCTTTTCTTAAAATGTGTGTCCGAGAAGATGGTTTAAAGGTTTGATCCAACTTACAAGCTCAATATTAGTAACAAATATAACAATTTTCAAAATAACTAATTACATAGGCGTACGGAGGCTTCAATCTCTGGCTGGACGTGTGTTGTACTTACCCAAAATGTTACGTATTTAAGTAGTATTTCATGTAGAAATTTAAAACCACATGACAATTGGTCAAGTAAAGTTACATTCTTTCAATTCCGTGGCTAAAGATATTAAAGTGGTTTGTTTTTTAGTTGCAAACACCAAAGACACAAGATTGAGAAAATCCAAGGAGTCAGGGGTTGAACCCTTGGGCAACTTTAATTTCTTGAAAATCATCATTCACTGCATTTTGAGTACATTTTTAATAAAAAAAAAAATAAAAGTAAGAAAAAGTGAAAATGATCGATAAAGGCTTTTTGTACAAAGTGAAAATAACAAGAAAACACCTTTTCAAATCTCTATAATTTCCCTGCACAAAAACAACTATTTTAAGGGGGGGGAGTGTCACATATCTTCCCTAGCAGTCACATATCTTCCCTAGCAGATTTGAATCTGTCGAAGAACACGAACCAGGTGACTATGTGTTAGAAATCAATTGAGATTAATAATTTTTTGTCACAGCCTGCTGCCATTTACGTGTTTAATTTACTTTGGTTTATTGGAAAGGCGTAGCAAAGCGTATAATTGATATATGCGTTTGAAAAACTCAATCTGAAGTAAACAGCGACGTCATGTATTATTTCCTGAAACTGCTTATGTTCTAAAAATTTACATTTTTTGCAATGTTTGAAACAATAATGTTGTTCATTGTTACTAATAGAACTAATAATGTTTCTAATTAGTTCTCTTGTTAACACTTATTTTTCATAAAAAATAGCACTGACTTAAGAAACTCATTTTTGTTTTATTTTTTGGCATTCGTTTCTTATTTCATTTTATTTTGGAGGACCTCTAATAAGATAAATTAGCCCTTTGTTTCGCATGTTCAGAAGTTTGATTTTTACCGACAAATGAAAAAATCGTCTGAGCGTGAATACGGAAATGTTCAACCAACACCCGAGTGACATTTTTTAATTTTTTCATGTATGTACTTTAACGTCGTAAAATCATCTCAATATTTTAGTTGTGCAGACTGAAAGGATGCTGTTCAATTCATTGATCATTAAGTGTGTCGTTCAATAGGAAATTATCCAAATGATCGACAATGTCGTCTTTTTTCCCAAGCACCAGCAAGCGGGAAGATGAAGATACTATGGCTGAATTACAGGTCAGTTGTAATTACAGTCGTTGTAGCTAATACTGAGATGAATTGCTTTGTCGTAATGTTGTTATACCATATTTCCCCTTGGTGACATAACAAAGTTCTTAGCTTAAGCACAGAATATGTAATATACAGAAAAGACACTTGGCATCTTTACTTGTTAGGAATAAATTTAATCAATGAAAAACTTTGTCAAACATAATGTGCCAGGATTGTTACCATTGCACTTGACTGTATACAAGTAAGTTGTTTTTTTTTGATGTGTTAGGACACTTGGAGTCTTTAGTTGTAACAAATAGATTTAATCTCGGAAACATTGTCATTGCGTTGTCTCTAAGCCATTACAATTGGATAGCACAAAATAAAGTTGCTACAGAACATTTTATGTTACTTTCCTCCAAAATTTCTCCCAGAATAAGCTAGAAGATCCATACTTCAAAAAATTGGTCATTATTGCTATCCTTATCTATCCACAGTACTTACTCATATCCAATCCTCCAAGTTCCCATGTGTCTTTTCACCAGAATCCTTTATCCCTCCATATGTCTATGTAGGTCATGTATTCATCTTATATAAAGTTCTATATTTCATATTCTTTGTTTTTAGAAACTCATTGCTTATGGTCATATTGTTGGCGATACACCAGACTCCATTGAACCAGAGAGGCGTTTAATTGACAGAATTATTGAGACTATTTGTAGTTGCTTTACTGGTATAATTACTGATGTAAACGTTCAAATACAAATTATAAAGATATTTATAAAGAGTAATCTCCAACTATTAAAGTATTTAATGAGAGAAATGATGTATCTTTGAAGAATTTAGCGAGGGTAACGACATATGTTTCTTACATTTTTAGTCTAATTTTTTATTATTTTTAATATTACGTCACCTACACCAGATATAACATAAAGTTCACAAAAAATATTCTCGTACTATATTGAACTTGCAGAAACGATGTTTTTTTCAAGGGAAAGAGCTATTTGTTATATAAATATAAGAAAAAGTATGCTAGGAAGACAATTTGATCTTTTTTAAAAACAGAACATTAATTTAATTTTCAAAGCCTTTATCAAACTTTCTATTTTATAAAGTTATTATAAATTACTTACAAAAATCATCACAGAAAAGAGTATCCAACCATGTATCAAAACCGTATGAGGTACATACCCATATTTTTCAAGGAGTTTAATGAATTTTTATCATCTATTGAATTTAAAAGTATTGTCAATTTTTCGTAGATTCTTTACAATACGACAATAATTCGTGATAAAAGTTTATAAGTTCTGATAGAAAACAAATTGTAAAATTAATATTATTGTGACGTTTCGTCTTTTAATAAATTTAATTTTACAATTTGTTTTTTTTTGGTCTATTTCTATGGCTCTAATCAGAACTTTATGTTGGGCATTAATTTTTATCACACGAATTCGATTTCCGCTCGGCAAGTCTCTCGCTACGACAGTAAGAAATTGAAGGTCTGTTATGCCGATCGGTACTTAGTACCAATTACATCAATACACCTCTTGATCTTTGACCCTGGAATTTCGGTAAAATAGTTTCGCCATTTCCATTTGGACAATTTTTGGCCTTTATTCTCTTCAAACTTTTTTTCAAATTTATACTGGAACCTGTTGCACGAAGCGTGGATAGCGTTATCCATTGGATAGTAGTTTTTTAAATTTGTGAATATGCATGGTTATATTTTGTTTATGATGATGAAACTGTGTAATTCTAGAACCAATATTGTATTTTATTTATTGTCCAGTTCGAATCGTTGATTTTTCCCTTTTAAGGTATTTTTGAAGCGCTCAAAAACGTTGCTACTTATGTCAATGATAGCGTTATTTGACCTTCGTGCAACTGATCTCTTCTCTGGTAATTTATTGGTAAAGTCTCAGCCTTGGTCTCTGTAAAAAATATAAATCTTGTGAGAACTATATATGGACAATGAACATGATTATTGTCTACATTTCAGCTGTATCCAGTTACAAGTGCGGAAGTGAATCAGAATGATCTCGTGATGAGCACATCCCTTGCATTTGAATGATGTGTACATTACAATACGATTAAAGGGAAAATCGAAAAAATATTTCAATATAAAACTGTGACTCTACGGTGTGGAACGAAATAATAAGTGTGGAAATAAAGAAATAGTCGTTTTGGTCATATTTGGTGAGTAAAATTGTGTAAAACATTGATTTTAAAGCCGTATTGTTTAGCTACTCGTTGTATTGTATCAAAGGTTTGACTAAATGGCAGAATAATCCTCCACTTGGATTCATTGACTGTGCATCCACATTTTCAGTAGATGCACATGATATTATGCCGTATATAAGACGATTCTAACTTCTGAGAAAAGAAAAATCAACGTGAAACGAAACTATAAGCTAAATAGCGCTACATCTATTGGACAATACGATAATATATATTTATGCTTAGTATATCAAATTGCGTTTCATCATATAAACACAAATGATCTGTTTATCAACCAAAACGACTATATTTTATTATTTAAATCAACCACAAACGATTTGCATCAATTATACATTACCACATTGACAGGTAGTTATAGATTTATAGTGCCATTGTCGCACAACCTAAGCGTTCTGTTGTGCGGGATGCTAAATCACCATTCTTTTGACGACAAACGTTGGTCATTACCACGAGTATTAAGATCAAAAAATGCGTATCCAATTCGTCCCTTCAAGACTTCAACTCAATGCGTTACAATGCATTAATCAAATGCGTCGATAAAATGCGACCATCAAAAATGCGTATTGAAACAACCAGAAACAGCGTTTGCAGCCTCTATATATACTACACATTCAACAAGATAAAATTACAAAGTTTCCTCTTTGCCACGATTGGAAAGAAGGACTTCCTCAGCAACTCAATGCTTTAAATTTCCCATGACAAATGCATGTGCGTAATTTAACGTAAATAGTTCCCATTTTACCATGCTCTTACTTCTTTTGTAATGTTCGTGCTTACAGAAAGAGAAAGATACTTCACTTGTTTTTATTATTTATGAAAATTTCTTCCCGTATACTATTTTATAATGATAAGTTTTACATCGTCCATATTATTATTGATAAATTGATAAATATTACGACAAGCAGGTCACGTTGCAAGAAAAACTGTCTGTTGCTCATTTCTTTTGCTGTTTTCAGTTTTTCCAATTTTTATGAGCACAAAATGGTTAAAGCCACAAAGAATTCAACATAATTTATGTATTTTTTTAATGATCCTTTTATTCATTTGAAAATGACTGACTCAAGTAGTACCAACTATTGTCTGACTATAGCTGTTGATCTTTGCTTTGGAAACTCAAACTTTGACAAAAAATGGCCATTTGGATCGATATTTGGATACATTTTGCCTATTTTTTATTCTAATAATTTTTTGAAATCATATTGGTAACTTATTATAAAAGTCTATGTCAAAAACATAAATCTGGTGAGAACCATATATGGACAATGAACATGATTCATTTTGAACATGAACATGAACATGATTCATTTTGTCTACTTTTCAGCTGTATCAAGTTACAAGTGCGGAAGTTAATCAGAATGATCTCGTGATGAGCCCATCCTTTGCATTTCAATGATGTGTACATTACAATACGAAGAAAGACAAAATCGAAGAAATATTTCAATATAAAACTGTGACTCTACGTTGTGGAACGAAATAATAAGTGTGGAAAAGAAGAAATAGTCGTTTTTATCATATTTGGTGAGTAAAATTGTGTAAAACATTGATTTTAAAGCCGTATTGTTTAGCTACTCGTTGTATTGTAAGGTTTGACTAAATGTCTGAATACTCGTCCACTTGGATTCATTGACTGTGTATCCACATTTCAGTAGATACACAGATGATATTATACCGTATATAAGACGATTCTAACTTCTGCGAAAAGAAAAAACGTGAAACGAAACTATAAGCTAAATAGCGCTACATCTATTGGACAATACGATAATATATATTTATGCGTAGTATATCAAATTGTGTTTCATCATATAAACACAAATGATCTGTTTACCTATCAAAACGACTATATTTTTATATTTAAATCAACCACGAACGATTTGCATCAATTATACATTACCACATTGATAGATAATTATAGATTTATAGTGCCATTGTCGCACAACCTAAGCGTTCTGTTGTGCGGGATGCTAAATCACGATTCTTTTGACGACAAACGTTGGTTCATAACAACGAGTATTAAAATCAAAAAATGTTTATCCAATTCGTCTCTTCAAGACTTCAACTCAATGCGTTACTATGCATTAATCAAATGCGTCGATAAAATGCGACCATCAAAATGCGTATTGAAACAACCAGAAACAGCGTTTGCAGCCTCTATATATACTAAACATTCAACAAGATAAAATTACAAAGTTTCCTCTTTGCCACGATTGGAAAGAAGGTTTTCCTCAGCAACTCAATGCTTTAAACTTCCCATGACAAATGCATGTGCGTAATTTAACGTAAATAGTTCCCATTTTACCATGCTCTTACTTCTTTAGTAATGTTCTTGCTTACAGAAAGAGAAAGATACTTCACTTGTTTTTATTATTTATGAAAATTTTTTCCGTATACTATTTTATAGTGATAAGTTTTACATCGTCCATATTATTATTGATAAATTGATAAAATTTACGACAAGCAGGTCACGTTGCAAGAAAAACTGTCTGTTGCTCATTTCTATGCTTTTTTTTTCCATTTTCCAATTTTTATGAGCACAAAATGGTTAAAGCCACAAAGAATTCAACATAATTCATATATTTTTTAATGATCCTTTCATTCGTTTGAAAATGACTGACTTAAGTAGTACCAACTATTGTCTGACTATAGCTGCTTATCTTTGCTTTGGAAACTCAAACTGTGACAAAAAATGGCCATTTGGATCGATATTTAGATACATTTTGACCTATTTTCTATTCTAATAATTTTCGGAATCATATTGGTAATTTATTTTAAAAGTCTCTGTCAAAAACATAAATCTGGTGAGAACCATATATGGACAATGAACATGATTATTGTCTACATTTCAGCTGTATCAAGTTACAAGTGCGGAAGTGAATCAGAATGATCTCGTGATGAGCCCATCCCTTGCATTTCAATGATGTGTACATTACAATACGAAGAAAGGCAAAATTGAAGAAATATTTCAATATAAAACTGTGACTCTACGTTGTGGAACGAAATAATAAGTGTGGGAAAGAAGAAATAGTCGCTTTGGTCATATTTGGTGAGTAAAATTGTATAAAACATTGATTTTAAAGTGGTATTGTTTAGCTACTCGTATTGTATCAAAGGTTTGACGAAATGGCAGAATACTCGTCCACTTGGATTCATTTACTGTTCATCCACATTTTTAGTAGATACACAGATACACATGTAAGGTTTGACTAAATGGCAGAATACTCGTCCACTTGGATTCATTGACTGTTCATCCACATTTTTAGCAGATACACAGATACACAAAGCATATATTATACTATATTTAATACATTACAAGGTGATTCTAACTTCCGAGAAAATAAAAATGAGCGTTAAACGAAACTATAAAGGCTGAAACACACTAGGCAGTCGCTTTAGTCCCTCGTCTAAAACTACCGCTTTGCGTGCTTACTAAGCTAGTAACGTAGTCGCGTCATCCATTGAGTTCTATAATAACTAGAGCGGCTATCTCAAGCGCGGCCTTAGATATCTGATGATGCCAAAAAAATGGTGGATTTCGTCCTTTGCCGCTGAGATTTACCGAAATTGACCGCTTTTCCGAAAATTTCACAATTTCCCACCCCCTCCTGAGGAAAGAGTGAGGAAAATGTATGTGTGTATTTGGGATTCGGCAAGCAATTTTTTGATGAAAATGAAGGTAAAAACCTTAAATTCATAACAGCGAGTCAACTGTGGTTGTCAGTTATCTGCTGCTACGAGGATGCATTTATAACTGTCGACGAAAGACCTATATATCGGCTACACATGTATGAATGTAGATGTGCGTCGTTTTCTTACCAGCGTCAAACTTGTTTGATCGATTAAACTCTTTAGTCTATACAAAAAAGTATATCATAGTTCATCTCCACGGTTCACGAGAGAGAAGTTAGCTTATTAGTTATCATTGCTACTTTGCTTCTTTTCATGCAATGGGCAATGGCTTTTTTCGCCACAATTGTAGGATTTTTATTTGCTTCTTTAAAAAAGTACATATTAAATCTCTGGATATTTACGGATTTTCTGTAATTGAGTTTCATATGAAATTTCAAAAAGACTCAAGTCTGCATAGGTTTGGTAAATGAAAACAAACAATATTGTATAGAAATTACTTTAAGTAACCTTTTTGTGATGTTCTGAAGTGCAACTGCATCAAATACTTGTGAAGTTGTAGCACATTTTGATTTTGTTGTATTGATATATGAATTGGGCAAAATGCAAATAATCATCAAAACACTTATGCTTCCAATGGTGTTTATAATTCATTTGTAGTTTTAATACTTCTACCTTTCTTTTTCACTTTGTTTTGTTTTTCCTATATTTGCAATATAAGTGCACTATAATTTGAATGATTAACACAGTTTTCACCTCAATAATAAATTTCATAAGCAGTTGGTAGTGCATTTTGTTCTTTGAGTATCCACATTTGGTGTTTTGTTCATACAAGAATGATGAAGTGCAAGTAGATATGTTATAGCAAGGCAATAAAACCAAATGAATTACATTCCTATAGTGTACTTTTATGCTAGAAGCTTAAAAGCTTTTTAGAAATTAGAAAGTTATTGGATTATATTACCTCTATATCATCAATCTCATGATAAGAAATAAGAAGCAAAAAATTTGTAGAAAAGCTTTGAAAAGTGAAAACTTTCTTTAAAAAGCAGCAATAATGCATATGATAAATCTCCATTCTGTACTCTAATAGGTAAATAAGCTCAAATTTTTCTTAAAGAAATATAAGAAATATACAGTACAGTAAATTTAAAGGTTTCATCACTGAATCTTTAATGCTTCAGTATAGTGCATTAGATATTAGTAACATTCAAACAACACTCAACTAAAATATTTTGATAAAGATATGACATGATTTAAACATTAAGTTACATAAAACCCAATGGCTTATGCAGTTTGAAGCTTCACATCTGCATTGACTCATCATCAATCTCAGTGCAAATGTTTACATAGACACAAACTTTATGGCCTTCCATTTTACATGTTTGTGAATTGACAATTCATTAAGCATCAAAACACACACAACCTTCTTGCCATCTTTCTTTGGATCATGAACTTTAACTTCAAGGCATCCTTAGTGAATCCATTGTCTCCATCCATAGAATTTGACCACGATCAAATTAAATAACTCTGGATAGGGCAGATAATAAATCAGTTATCTTTACAGCATTATCATTTTTTAAGACTCTGCCTGGTCAATAATATCTTCCAGTCATCTTTACTCCTTGATCTTCCCTGCATGTTGTCAGCAAAAAGAACATAACAAGCTCTGCTCTAAATCACGGCTACCGTTGGGGCTGATCATTTTTTTTTGATACTTACTCACAGAGCAAAATGTGTGCAGGGTCTTTTTTGCTTTAGAGAAACTATTTTGCAAATAAATGGGTAAATTTACGATTTCATGCATTAACAAATGACAGAAAAGTATGCAGAATTTTATGAACAAAAAAAGGAAAACATCAGTATATTTTGCGTTCAAGTCAGTCTTAAAAAATACGATCTTTAATATGTATTTTATGGCTTTTCAAGTGCATGTATAATTGCTTTTCAATCGTTGACGGACTAACAAAACAAACAACTACCTCACCTGTGAGAAGCGATATGTTCCTTTTTGTGGAAACTACGACATCCAACAATTGAACGATTGAAGTGTCGGCATTATAAAAGAAATGCCAAAAAAGAATCGTCACAGAATATGGAACTACGATATCCATATTCTGTGATATCGTGTTTGTTCTTGAAAAACTCTTTATAATTTACTATAGACACCAGGGGGAGGTCGAGAATATTATTTTTCTGCAAAGCGATCATTTCAGCTGAAATACGTCCTTTGGCCGCCATTTTTTTGGCATCCTCGCCCCAGTAAAGTTAACCGCTCTAGTTATTATAGAACTCAATGGCGTCATCTAGTCGCTTTGAAGGTTCAACATGTTGAACTTTTGACATAAGTCGCTTTAGTCGCTTTACACTGATTGGCCAATAGATACATTTTAACTTCCTAAATGCATATCATATTCCCTGTCATAAGCATCATACGGAATTTATAGATTATGCCTTGGAAAACGAGGGCAATATATAGTGAATTCACAATGGAATCTTTCAGTTTTTATATGACTTATCAAATAGGGACAATAGGAGCTACAAACTGGAACCCTAAGGCACAACCTAAATGCACAGAATAAGATTGTCCACGATATACGCGTAATGGGCTATGATCATATTGGCGTGTTTTAACTGGCTTGTTCTCTTTTCTCCACCTAGTAGTTTGTACTGAGTAAATATTCATATATTAGTAGCTATAATAAAGGCAAAAATAAAAAGTTTAAGTTATGTCTTTGTGTGTAACAAACAGAAATCTCCGCCATGTTCAATAGACGCCACGGTAAAAGTCGCGATGGTCGCTGCATGTGTGTTTCTGGCTTTCAAGCGACTGACGCGTCAGCATCAATTCGCTTTGGACGCGCGACTGAAGCAACTGCCTAGTGTGTTTCAGCCTTAAGCTAAATGGCGCTATGTCTTATTGGATAATACGATAATATATATTTATGCCTGGTTTAGTAAATTGCGTCTCATCTTGTTAACACAAATGATCTGTTTTCCTATCAAAACGACTATATGATAATATTTATATCAACTGCGAACGATTTGCATGAATTATACACTACCACAGTAATAAGTAAATATAGATTTAAAATGCAATCGCACACGCAGTACTCTCATGATAATGCACAATTAAATTTATTTAAATTGATAAAAAATTTTAAGCCAGGTCTCGTTGTCACAAAAAAGTGTACGTTTTCTTTTTCTTTTGCTGTTTTGCATTTTTTGATGATCCTTTTGTTCGTTTAAAAATGCCTGACATGGAAGTCGACTAATTCACTGATTTCAAGAATCACAGGATTTTATCATCAAAGAGGAATCAAGTTAGAAAGAAAAGAGCTTGAATTTCTTACACATAAGATATTTATTTGTTTTGAATAAAAGTGCGGTTTTTATCTTTGGACAGCAACTTGTGTCAATCACTTTGTTTGATGTCATTTAATAAATTTTTAAACATTTGCTGCATGAAATTAGAAAATCAGTTCGATTTTGACGAACAGCTTATTTTGCTCACATTGTCACATTCAACATCTAAACATTATTGATGTTACAATAAGGTTTGAACTATGATCACCATTTTTAAACTGATATGTATGTGGTCGCGTTTTTTATATTTAAGTGCTTCTATGACGAAAACTTAACGTTAAAAAATCATCGATTTTAGCATTCAATAGTTTAAACACATATCAAGTATTGCTTTCGTAAAATGTAAGCAAAAATTAGGAAATTGAACGAGACTTACCTGAAGTTGAAGTTTGATTGGGATTCTATTAGTATCTACAAAGCAGAAATTACACGAGATACTACGCATGCGCACATTGGTCATATTTCAAAGATAGTGGCCACATGAACCGCCTAAATGTGCATATGAACGATATGCAGGAAGGCAGTAACATGATGGTGGGCGTGTAATGTCTGCACTGTAGATCCTAATAGAATCCCAATCGAACTTCAACTTCAGGTAAGTCTCGTTCAATTTCCTAATTCTATTAGCATCTACCGCAGAGATCCCACGAGATTTGAAAGTCATGTGGACACACTTCATGCCTACCCGCAAATACGCCATTAAGGTATAAACTTATTTTAATTGGAGATGTGCCAAACATACCCTGAAATAGTAACAAATATGAATTTAAAGTATTTCCTTCTCTTGCACTATACATGCAAGTATATGTGTTCTGAACTCCCTGCCAAGTTCAGCTAAAGAGATTTCTCGTCCAGTATCTTTCTTATTGGGAAGCTGAAAGAATGGCATTCTCAAACTCCGCATTGCCACATTGAGACACAACGTTCTTATTGTAAAACCGATGAAAAACACAATCAGTCTTCCAACTTGCAGCTTTCAGTATGGAGTTTATCGAAACATCACATTGCTTTGCTTTACTGGTGTCTGCGGCTCGTGTACCATGTGGTTTGAAC